AATTATAAAGATTTTCAATTTATCAAGTGCACAGAATCGGGCTGTAAGTTTCCATCCATAATTCTAAAAATAGTAATTTTTTTAACAAACTGAAATTTAAAAAAAAAAAAACAAAATAGTTCAGTCCAAAATTTTCTCAAAACGTTCGAAAAATATTAGGTTTGTAATCTAAAAATTAATCTTAAAATTTATAAGACCAAAATTATTAAATATTTCATGGAGGGCTCGAAATTTCGTCAAAAAAATCTTGTCTGAGTTTTAGCCACAAAAAAAATCTTTCAGGCACATGCAAAAATGCTTGCAATTTGAGCTTAAAAGCTAGTGAAAGCTTTATGTTGCATGAGTAAATGCGATGAAAGTAACGTTGAGTTAAAAGCGACATTGACATAGAAAGGTAAAATGCGATTTTGCAGATATCTACAAAATCTTCAAAAATATCAAAAAAATTACATAAATTAAAATGTTTTCTGAAATCTTGAAAAAGCATTTACAAAAAGTAATCAAATCAAAAAGCGAAAATTTAAAAGCAAAACCGACATGCGTAAAATATACGAGAAATACATAAATCAATGGTAAAATAAAAGAGCTACGTACTTAATTTCAGAAGATCGAAATGATCGACCAACTGTTATCTATTGAAAACCAACATGATTTCATGCCATAAAATTTGCCATAACATAACTATTTACTGTTGTATTTTTTAGTCCAATCACTCGCAGCTCCTACATACATACAAATATTGAAACCGGAAAACTTAGCATATATGTATGTAGATTTGTTACATATGTATGTACATGCATTTGTGTATATGTATTAGTAGTAAATATGTAAAACAACAAATAGAACTGGAACAATAAACAATGCGCCAATAAATTACCTAAACTAAATAAAATTAAATTAAATCAAATAAATACCAATACGTACATATCTTGCAATTCAAAAAAAAAAAACATAAATATATTCATACACACAAACACACCTACATACATACATACATAGATTGTAACAACAATCAAATGTACGAAAAGCAATAATGTTTAACACACCGC